ATCCAATGCTGAGGAAGCAGTAACCTCTACACTTGTAAAGATATGAAACAACAAAAACCACTGTCTTACATGGTTCCTATGAGTGTAGAATTTGGGAGGTGGCTCTGGTTCAGGACCTCCCTGGAGTTTATATTGAGGTATGTTGGCTGGGGGCCTTTATCATCTGAGACGGAGTAAGGCTAGAAGGTCTGATTGTTAGACAGCTTACTCATATGACAGGCAAGCTTATGTTGGCTGGGGGCCTCATTTCCTTGCCACATGGAACATGGACCTCCTCACAGAACTACTTGAGACTGGTAGTTAACTTCCAGGCTTGATCCATGAGAGCGGTGTCTTATGATCTAGCATTAGAAGTTACCCGTTATCCTGATGTAGTGTAGGAGGGAGTTATACCCCTGGAGTCAGTTCCAACTCGTAGTGACCTTAGGACAGAATCTGATTGTCCTATAGAGTCTCCAAGGCAGTAAATCTTGAAAAAAGCCTTTACTGTCAGGTCTTTCTCCTACAGAGGAGCTGATGTGTTCAAATGCTGACCTGTAGGCTAGCAGCCAACCACTCTGCTATGAGGGCTCCTTTGGAATTACACAGGAGCATAGATGCCAATAGTGAGGGTCACTGGAGGCCATCTTGAAGGCTGGCTACCAAATGTGGCACTGTGCTAGAGACAGAACACAATAAAGACAGGGGAAGCATTGACATGGATATGGGTGACTGTGACTATACCCATTCCATTCAACTTACTGTTTATAGTGTGTATATATACCGAGTACTTTGTTAAACAACAGGAGTAAAATACAGCTTCAAGATTTTAAGCCCAAGTGACTGGGAAAGCAATGTTATTATAGGGAAAACATTAGGTAAATCAACAGCTGGAGGTGAGTTGGAGAGAAAAGGATCAGTTCATTTTTGATAAGAGAGACTCTGGAATAGCACAAAAAAGACATGAAATTAGCAGTGAAGCAGTTTCATTAAACACAGACGAGTTAGCTGATGTTGGGGAGTAGGAACAGCAGTATCATAGAGATAGCCAAGGGAGTGCTAAAGGATGAGAGTACATAATTTGAACTTGCCGAAGAAGTGATAGAAGTGTCATTACAAATGTTTGAAAGTTAATAAAGAAGAAAAACTCAGTAGCATTATTGGAGAAATTCTAGGAGACTCATTGAGAGAATAAGGTGTTACAGCAAATACAGAAAGGAACAAAACATTATTTAGAAATGATTATTTTCACAAGTAGATGTTTTACCTTAAGATGACATGAAATTCTTGACTTGGAAGACCATAAAGTAATATCCATTATATTATGAAAATTGAGTAGGCATGGAAAATATTGTAGAGAAGTTTTCTTTAAGGCAGTTCTTAACCTGTGGGTCATGACCCCTTTGAAGGACCCAGTTATGAAGTAGTAATGAAAATAATTTTATGGGTGGGGGGGTGACAACATGAGGAACTGTATTAAAGGGTTGCAGCATTAGGAAGGTTGAGAACCAATGCTTTAAGGCCTGAGAAGGTAATGAGAACTCAAATTATTTCTCAGAATGAGAAGATAATTGAACCCTGGAAAGAGTGCTGAGAATATCAAATGGAGTTGATTACATTTATTGCTTTTTAATGAAGCATGCCCTACAGTGATTTTTAATGAAACATCCTAAAGTATCCACGGAAGATGGAACTTACATGATTTTATCAGTTACAGCCACCATGCCATTCCTTAGTATTCACTGGGGTTTTACTTTGACATGTATTTATGGGATAAAAATATAATATGCTTAATTTAACAAAACATACTTAACTAAAATTTCTTTCTTGTGTTTTTTCCCTTGGCCTGCCTTCTCGACCCCTCAAATTAGGTGGTGTGGAATGGCTGCGAATCAGTGACAGCGATTCCTCCAATAGACCCAGCATGATTTGTAGCTTTCTACATGAAGACGAAGACATGGTAGCTTCAGCCCCACACAAATCTTTAGAGTTGAAGGAGCAAGATATTCACATGAAAGATAATTCAGACCTGAGCTACGACCAAGAGAAACCACTGCACTTGGATATAGGGGATTCGAGTCCTCTTATCGAGATCCCTTCTTTTGATACAGAAGGCTTTGTTTTTATGGATTCTCAGGATGGTGCGCTGGAAGCCACTCCTCGATGAAATGTTCCTCCTGATATTGCCTATCATGAACTTGGTAGATTTTACAACTGTAGGCTTCATTTGTTCATCTATTTTATTCTTTTTGTTGGCTTTCTAATGATAGCAAAACCTAACATAGCAGTCATTCCAAGACCAAGCATGAACTGAATTAAAAACCAAACCCCAAACTGGCTAAATTAATCCTAGACTCCTCTCTGATGAATCCTTTAAATTTGGTTGTTTTACTACGGTAAGTATATTGGTTTTCAATTACGAGCACCATAAATTACCATAAACTTGTATTGTTGGCTACCATGGAGTCACAGCTAAGGGTGGGTGACCCCAGGTATAATGGGACTGGGAGGACAGAGTGAAGATTCTTCTAGCTGAAAAGCTTGATGCTATTGTGCATCAGACTGCATCTCTTGCTCTGTAAATCACACAGTTAAGTGAGCCTGTGCCAGGTTAGACCCCACAAAGCTTACTGGGTCCTGTGCGTGTGGATGTCATTCCAATCCTGTGACTGCTACGGCTGCCCAGCCAGAGAGCGCACTGCCACTGCCGACCGCGCCTTCTTTAGTGTGGGACAGAAGGACACTTCTCTCTTGGTTCAGTCACTCTGGCACAGCCAAACTTACTCCTAATTGATACATTATACATTTTTTAAAGCAAAAAAATCTATAGACGTATAAAGAAGTAGAGTGGAAGATTCTTGAGACTGTTAATCGTACAAAGGAAATTGATCTAGACCAGGGGTCCTCAAACTACAGCCTGGCCCACTGAGGACAATTATCCTGCCTGCCGGGTGTTTTTGCCATTTGTTTTTTTACTTCAAAATAAGATATGTGCAGTGTGCATAGGAATTTGTTCATAGTTTTTTGTTTTTTTTTTTTAACTATAGTCCGGTCCTCCAATGATCTGAGGGACAGTGAACTGGCCCCTGTTTAAAAAGTTTGAGGACCCCTGATCTAGACTATCATAGTTCTGTTAGAATCGACTCAATGTCACTGAATGAGTAACCTTATGTTAGAAAAGGAGAATAAAGTCTTTACATTCTGGAGAGAAGGTAGTGTGCTTTAACTCCCTACTTGTTAATAAGGATAAATGTGTGAAATTTACTCAAATAAAAGTCTGATTTTTCAAATATGTGCATAGCATTTTGTGATACTAAAATTTTTTTTTTCATCAAAAATCATTTTCAGAGTTCATCCTCCTTCCAGGAAGCAGGAAAATGATGGAGCATTCTTAGTAGTCACCTGACAAAAATGATCCATTATTCTTACAATTAAAAAATTAATGCTGTGATTACAAAAAACATTCCATTAATATTTACATAATATATTTTAAATCTTGTGGTTTCCAAGGATTAACATTTAGTCATGCCTGGCAAGGACTAGAAGACAGTGGCTGAGAAGTAAGCCCCTCATAAAAGACATCTAAATAGTATACTTAGGATGACTAATATGAAGGATTAAACATCACACATCTTTCCTGAGAGGAAAGAATTACAGTTTCTAAAGTGCATTCACTTTTGACACCTCAATTCCTGATTTCAGAGGTTGAAGATTATGTACCTCTGTGGCGCACTTGGGACAAGTAAAGTACATGTCAAATAAGAAACTACTCTTAATGCAGTAATAACATAAGATATGCTACATCCTATGGTATGAGGCAGGATGGGCCACAATCCACACAGAGCATTCTTTGCCACTGGCGCCTAAAGTCTTGTCATTATGAACACCAGTAAGAGGGAAGCACCATGAAGATAGCTTGGCTTTCAACTTCTGGATATTAATAAGTGGTAAGAGAAAAATAAGAAACTGCAAAACCATGCCAGAGAAGTTCCCTATTCATATACTCAAAGCCAACTTCACGCATGTTTGGGGGCTTGCAAAATACAGACCGAATGCCTAGTAGACGTTCTGTCAATGTTGCAAACTTTCCTCTTTGAAGGAAAATCAAGAACTTAATCAGCTCACCTAACTTCAATAGTCCAACTACAATATTCACACAGTGCTTGACTTTCCAGAATGATGCTAAATGGTTTCGAAACAAATCAGCATCGTTCTTCTAGCCACTTCCCTCCAATTGTACAAATAGCAAACCAGAGCTTTTGATTCTTACTGGGTGGGTGATATCTCAGATTGGGGTAAAAATAATTTTTGTACTGAATATTCAAAACTGTCTGCCCCACAGTGGCATTTATGGAGTAGATGGTGAATCCATAAGAAAACCCACAAGAATGCATTTACTTCTAGTTCAAAGCGGGATAACAGCCCTGGCTTAAATCCATGGAAGCACTGAGTAAACTGGGACCAAACTAGTTGCTCCAGGGCTTTGTTCAGTTCAAGTGCATCCAGCTGACTTATTCTTAGCACTCTGGGCTTTGTGGATTCTCTTCTTTGGAAGCCATGTTTCTGAAGGTCTCTTTCCCTCCTTGCAGCTGCCTGAAGAGGAGATCCTACAGCAAAGGAGATTTTTGCTGCTGCAAATTTCTCTGAAATTCTTGTGTCATACTTGCCAGGAGCTTAGGTGTGCAAAACGCCCATGGTCCACATAACTTTTTCTGAAACATTCTCAGGAATAACTTGGCTTTTCCCAGCAGAACCTGGGATCTCCCCCACGCTTCGGGCGATACTAAAATTTTTTTTTCTTTTTTTTTTTTGATACTAAAATTTTATATGCAAATTTCTCAGTCATTGATCAACTCACTGCTATATGAACTTACTGGAATTACTTACAAACTACTCTTAGAACCAGAGTCTCTCTATGATTGTCACAATAACTACTACTTTTGATCCTGAATGAAATGAGTTGCTTTTGCTTACACACACTGATATTCTACCTAAAATGATCATGTTGTTCAGGTACATCATGGAGAATTCTTTATGGCCATTAAAGAAATATTTGAAAATTCACCCATTTGTCCATATGTTAGGAATGCTAACTGCAAGGTTCGTGCTTCAAACACCAACTGCTCCTTGGGAGAAAGTTGAGACTATCTGTTCTATAAAGACAGCCTCTGAAACCTTGTATAGGGTTGCTATGAGAGTGGACTTGGGTTTTTGTTGTTATTAATTATATACTACAAAGCTGGCCATAAAAAAATTCCTGAAATAGCTTAGTGAAACTTGATTTATAGTTTTTCCTTTTAAAAATTAATAAATCATTTTATCGGGGCCTCTTATAGCTCATAACAATTCATACACCAATAGTATCAAGCACATTTGTACATATGTTGCCATCATCTTTTCCAAAACATTTTCTACTTAAGGCCTTGGTTTTACAGTTTTCTATTTACACACTAGCAGTTTATTTTATTATTTTTTTAATCATTTTATTTGGGGCTCATACAACTCCTGTCACATCCATTGTGTCAAGCACATCTGCACACTTACTGCCATCATCATTCTCAAAACATTTGCTTTCTGCTTGAACCCTTGGTATAGCAGTTTATTTTAAATTACTGTTTTCATTCCCTTTTTTTTAACAGTTTATGTGAAAGCAGTATCTTCATTGATTATGAAAATGGATTTGCTATCTTCTATGATTTCCACTGTCATTTCCTCATGGAATAAGCAAATTCTGTTCATAAATGTGTCAAAAATACAGTTTATGTTAATAAAATAGTGGCAACTTACTAATTTCTAGGTATTTTACAAATTTATCTGGGTTTAAGGTAACTAGTGTATTAATGAAGATGTCAAAGTAGCCAAGGTCCTAAGTTTCCTCAGATAAAAAGTAAAGATTTCTTTTATCATATTTTAATTCCTTAATTCTACCTATGCTTCTGTTATTAATATCCTATTGCTGCTATAATATATACTGCGAATTTAGTAGCTAACATCAATTACAATTTGGAGGTCAGAACTGTGGCATCGGTCTTCAGGGCTCAGGTCAAGACGGCAGGTTCTTTGTAGCTGTCCACACAGAATCCACCTTTTGCCCTTTTCAGCTCTAGAGGCCATCTCCATGCCTCGGCTCTGGCCCTTCCTCACCTAGGGAGCTGGCAGTATAGCGTCTTCACATACTGCTCTTACTTGCTTCCGCAGTCTTTGAAAAGCCCTGTCGTCTTTTTGGGCTCACTCAGAAAATCCAGGATACTTGTCCCAGCTCATGCTCCTTAACCCAATCACTTGTGCAAACTCCACGTTGCTATGTAAGGTAAGACAGGTTCTGAGGATTCGGACCTGTACATGTCTGTTTACCACACTGACCCTTCATTTTAATGATGTCCCGGGAAACACATGAGGTGAATGATAACTAAGTTAACCAGACAGAAAATACAGGAATGGAATTTAGGCTTGTACTTAATTCTAGGCCAATTTGAAGAGCAATTAGTTCTCTTTTTTGGTGTTGGCCAAACTTTTTATTTAGTATTCTGTAGTTGTTTAACACACACTGTAAGCGGTCTTAACTGGGGAGGGGGAAAGGCAGGTTCTTGCAGATTCCCCAGGAAATGTCCGAAAGGCAACATATTGGCCAGCATTTGTTTGGGTTTACTGCATGAACAGTACTTTCCTAAGTAAGCATCTGACCTCCGCTTCTTCACCGTGAGAACATTTTGGGGATTTCAATTTGAAGGCTGTAGCATTAAGTTAAATTTGGAGGGGAGGGCTGAGGGGCCAGCCCCCACGGCTACTACTACTACCCAGGGGTTCAGTAAGCACAATTGTACGGTTGAGATATATAAGTATTATATTAAAGTCATCGAGAGCATGAGAGATATTACAATAATGCAGTCAGAAACATTACATGGTGGCATTGCTCACCTCAGCCCAGCTTGGTGGTCCACGTGGAGCGAGGGGGAAGGGAAGGAGGTCGGGAGAGGAGAGGGGGTAGAGGGGGGAGCGGCCAGGGAGAGAGAGGTCAGAGAGTTCGATCTATATTGCTGACGCACCCCTATATACCTTTTGGGGCATGCCAGCCCACTAATTACAGGTAGAGACATTCGTCACAGGGAGGGGCTGCACTATAGGTTACACAGTAATGAGGGGGTGGTCTCTGGGTCTCCATAGGAACCATTATCAGTAGGGTGAAAACTCCGCCTACAGGAGCCTGTCCATTGTCACCAAAGGCGGGAGCAGACCCACCCCTGTGGTGGGATGATTGCCCTCAGGCAGGGGAGGGGGGGTAATGCCTACACATCTGACCTCCCCCCACAGAAGGCACTCTGAAATCTTACAGCATGGCAGAAAACCCAACCACCCTTCTAATATCTAGCTCGTTTATATAGGTAGAATGAGTCATCTCTCCATTTTGGATGGCTAGATGTTGATGGAAGATCTTAGTATTGCTTGCCTCATTTACTGGGAAGAATCAAATGGGAAGTGGCCTTCAGGGAAACTTAAAGAGAATTACAACACTAGTACACAAGTCAAGTCTTACACATTGAACATTTGCTTGTTGAAAGCAATGTCATAAAAATCAAAATTAAACAGGTTTTACTTTTTACTTAACATAAAAATTATGGGAGTATTTAAAACAGGTTTTAAAAATAACACAATTTTTCTTTAAAAATTCTTGGGTAGTTATAACAGAATAGTTTCCATTTTGTTTTGTTTCTTTGAATAGGTATTTTGGTCTAAATTTTGTTTGTTCTTAGTATCTGCTGCTGCTTCCCCTTCTATCAGATCAGCTTCCTCCACGGCCACCACCTCTTAATGCTCCACACAGCTTGAAATGCTGTAGTAATCATGTGGAGGATACCCTCTCTCCATAGGAAGGGGAAGCCCTCGTCTGCCAACCCAATCATGACCACTTGAGTAGAGATCACTTTGGGGAGCAATTAGTTTTTAAGACATGGTTCTGCTTGATGCTCGACCTCATGAGATCACTTACACAACTCATTTTAAAACCATGAG